ACAACCCAATTGATGGCCACCCAACTTTTTAAAACATATTTTTTCAAAAAAATAAAATAACATAGGCTTTCCACCATTTAACCAGTCGTCTTTCTATCATTCATTCATTCATTCAATGTGAGAGTTTCTTTTTCTCTGTAGAAAAGAATTTGTTTTTTTCCTCGATTCGATTCTATTCATTCATCCATCCATCTATCGATGATACAAATAGGGTGAGTGGTAATATAATTTTTCTACACAGGCGCGTAACTTTATTTCTTTCTTTCTCATAATATTTAAAACCAGAAATTGAATCCAAATACACAATCACACACACACACAAATACCTATTCGAATCATATCCGGCTATGGTGATTCATTGAATTCGAATAACTCGATATATTATTCGAAAAATTATTAGGTTTTACTCTTTTCTATCAGACTTGATCTCTTGATCAAACTCTTCTTTTTTTTTCTTCAGCCGGTTAAATCAATTAACCTTACCAAAAAATGAAATGACCTGTCGTATGATGATAATGATGATAATGATTAGCCAAAAAAAAGTTAAACAACATTGTTATTTATGTAATGGTTTTTTCTGTTTAACATTAAACAAAAAACATTGATGACATTACTACCACGCCTAATTCATTGAAATTTAACCAAGTGAATATGATGTGTTATTTATTATACTCTAAATAGATGGATAATATTAAATAATATAAAAGTTTACCTTTTTTTGGTTAAAAATTCATATATGACGTACAATAAATATTAGAAAAAAATGGCTATATTTTACATTGATGTTTTGTTGTTGGATAATATTTTCAAATAAGCTTGTAACCCTCCCCCTCCCTTAAAACATCATACATTCTTTTCTTATTCTCATCCTCCTCACATTCACACGAATATACCATACACACAAAGATATTGCTACTGTTGTTGTTGTTGTTGTTTGTCTCTTTAAATGTAGCCATTTAATTCTTTTTCATTCGTTCGTTCAAGATATATCCCAGGAAAAAAAAATGGTCGCACTTATACAGAAGAAAAAAAGTGTAGTGAACAAAAAAAAAATACACAAACGAAAAGAAAGAAAAATAAAACCAGCCCCAGCGATATCTCAATCTCTCTCAATATTTACTCTGTTTCTCAAATGTTTTTTTTTTGATTGACTTTTTTTTCCAAAACGAAACGAAAAAAAAAATTATTTGGTTACTGGTTGGTTTGCTTTTATATTTCTGGTTGAAAACAAAAAAAAAACATAAAAACAACAACAACAATATTGCAACAATGAAAAATATTGTAACCAACCACCAAATGGTTTGATGTTTTTTTGGTGTGTGACAGACAACAAAAAAAAAATGTGCCATGTCTCTTTTTCCGTAAAACCATACATATATACGTAATAGAAAGTATTGGCTGCTCCTCTTCCTTTTTTCTATCAAACCCCCCGAATTCCATTCAATCCCCATGATCAAAAAAAAAACAAAAAAAAAAATCTTGGTACTTGCTCCATCTTTTATTTTCTTTTCAGTAACTCAATTCCATCATCATTTTCTTCAATTCTCATTCAATTAGGTTCCATTTTTGCTCGAGTTACGGATTCCGTTTTTTTCCCTTCATATATACACCATTGATGAAACAAACAGTGTACCATACTTTTGATATCATCTTATACACATTCAATTAACAAAAGTATTTTTTTTGATCTGGTCGCATTGAAAATAGCCCAAAAAGAAAATGGCCAATGGCCGAAAATCGCCACAAATAATATTGGCGATTTGGCAAATTGACAGTTTGGTTTTCCATCAGGAAATTCAAGGATTAAAGAAAAAAGATGTACAATCCAAATCGATTCCATCACCAAAAATTTTTTTTTGTTTAACCTGGAAAAAAACACTATCCCCATTAAACAAAACAGAAATGAAATGAAATGAAATAATGACAGATTTTTTGTTTTGTTTTGTTTGTTGGCCATCCTCCTCCAAATCGTCATCATCATCCTTAATGATCGGTACAATTTTGTTGCCTTGTGTTCTCTCTTTCTATCTATCTCTTTTTCTTTCAATGCATCCAATGTATGATTTCCATCATTTTTTAGTTTATGTTGTTGTTGTTGTTTAAACTAAGTCGGTATGTTGTTGTTGTTGTTGTTGATGATGATCGGATGCTCTTGATCATCGAATTGGTAGTTGATTGGATGATGATGAGTATCCGAAAATGTCGAAACATACGATGAATAGTTAGTTTTAGTTTTCTCTTTTTTCTCTTTTTTCTCTCTCTATTTATTGATCAATTTATGATGATTTTCTATGTGTTTAGATTAACCTTAGTGCATCAAACAAAACCAAAATGATTTTGATTTGTTGATGAATTGTGTTTGAACATTTTTTTAAATTCAATTTTTTGATAATTGAAAAAAACATCAACTTTGTATTTGTGTGTGCCAACAACAAATTTCATTCAAATTCATCTAAATTCTGGATACCATTTCCGAAAAACCAAAGAAAAAGCAAAACATCGATCATAAGGTAGTTATTGTAAAAATTTTTGTCCAACAACAACAACAAGCATAAATCATTTTCATTCATTGGATAATATTGATGAGATGAGAGATCATTATAATTAATGAAATTATTCAAACAACAAACATGGCTCGATTCGCAAATATTTTCTCTCTCTCTCTCTCTCACTATATATTTGCCTTTTGTATTTTGTATTTTTTTTTCTGATTTTCATCGACGACTCCATTTTTTTTTCGTTGTCGTTTCAATCACCAATCATCATCATCATCATCAAATAGATTCACCAAACAAATCAAACATAACATAATATTGCATACGTTGAGTTCCTTTAGCTTTTGGCTTCTTTTTTTTAAATATATATTTCATTTCATTTCTTTTGATGATGCTGATGATGATGGCGAGCTTGCTGCCTTTTTTTTCTTCTGCTTTTCCAACATATGAACCTCTTTGTGTGAGTATGGTGTTTGTATTTTGGTTTAGTTTGTGATGGATTCTCATCCAAAAAAATAATAATAATACCACACAGTATCATTGGGGAGAAAAAGAAAGAAAATTTCTTTCGTTTTTCATTTCATTTTTTCTCTCTCTCTTTTTTTCTATATCATTTTGGTTGGATTTTTTTTTCTTTGGTTGTCTATTTTGTGTGTTTGTGCATGTATGAAAAGTATGTAAAAAATTATTTGGTTTTTTTCTTTAATTTTTTTGGTGTATTATGGGTGGTTTTTTTTATTTTGGTTGTTTTAGGATGGTGGTGCTAGTATCAATCGATTGTTTGATTTAGTGTGGCAAAGAGTTTTGGATTGGAAATTGAAGAATTTTAAAGAAAAAAGTTTAGACCAGAATAAAATCATTAACATCAAACCATTTTTGATTCATCATCGATTCGAATCGATTTAAACATATAGAGAGGCCAAATAAAACACACAGAATATTCAATTCATCTAACACAAAACAAAATTCTTATCTAATAAATATTTTTTTTTCTTCAATTCTTGAAAGGGGTGTTTTAATGTGTTGTTGGATATTGGCAGAATGAAAAAAAAGGAAAGAAAGGAAACAACAACAACATTATTTTGTGGTAAACACAGACAACAACAAAAAAAAGCCATAAGAAAAAGCATCATCATTTTGGTTTGAATTGAAAATTCTTTTTTGAACATTGAAAATGAATACAGAATGTGTATTCTAATGTATAACCACACACACCAGCAGCACTAGCAGCACCTTTTAATAAATAAAAAAAAATAATAATACCACCACCAAGAAACTCTTAAAAGAAAAACTTATACGACGAACTCGACTCGGTTCTTTTCTTTTCTTTATTTTTTTCGTTTAGTTTCACATATTGTTGTTGTTGTTGTTGTATTTGGTTGGTATTTGTTGTTAATGTTATTGTCAAATAGTGTATATTTATTACAATTATATTTCCAGCAACAACAACAACAACAACAACAACAACAAAAAATGGTAAGAGTATAAAGTGAATAAGTTATGAATGTGTTTGTGTGTTGTTTACACACACTTTTTTTTTGTTGTTGGATACAAGCAAATGAGTGATTTGAGTAAGTTAGTTTATTTTCCCTGAGAATATAATTTAATATTATCATCATCATCAATTCATTTATGAGTTATATATTTGTTTTGATTATATGAGTGTTTTGTTTGTTGTTGTTGTTTTTATTATTATTTAAATAATATTCATGTGATGATGAGCTTTTGGGTTTAATTTTGGTATTTTCAACAACCAGAATTTTGATATTAATTATTTTTTTTATCGTTGTTTTTGTTTTTTGCATCTCAGATTCTCATCCAAAATTCATAAATTTTTTTTTTGTTGAAAAAAATCACTAAAAATTTCATTTCAAAAAATATTCTGTGAATCTGATATTCTTGATTCTTGGTGTATGTGAAATATTTTATCAATAAGAAACAACAACAAGAAATCGAATCCAACAACAACAAAATATCAATACAAATCAATTGTTGCTGTTGATCAATTATCAATCAATCGATATCATAATCATCATTAATAAATCATATCATGGTATGTGTTTTTAATAATCAATATTGTTTATTGGTTTTGACTGGTTAGTTAGTTTCTTTTAATTTTCAATTTTGTCATCATCATTTACATGATTCTCTCGTGATTCGCATATAGACAAAAAATATCTATCAAAAGGTTGCAGCATTTTATTTTATTTTATTTTCTTTATCGTCATCATCATCATCATTGTTTGGCGTCATCATTGAAATCATGCAAAAAAAAATTTTCCTTGTTTTGTTTTGTTTAATTATTTCATTCTTCATTACTAAATTATTAATTGAAATTAGAGAAAAAAAAAATTCCTGATGAAATTGTATTTACCATATATATCATTGTTGTCGTCTTTTCATGCACAATTACAATCATCAATGTTTTGGATAAATTTTAATGAAATTATTTCATTGTTGGTTTTTTTCCGAACTATTGTGTGTGTGCGACATTATTGATTATTGATTATGATGATGATGATTTCCGAAAAAAAATAAATCAAGTACAATCAATACTTTTTAACATAAAAAATGGTTTATTATGAGCATCCTTTATTGGTTTTTGGTTTGCGACCTGATGCTGATCGTAGGCGTTTTTCAAATGGTGTTGTTGTTGCTGTTTTTCTTAAGAGTATGATGATTATAACGATAATAATGATAACGATGTTATTTAGACATTTTTCTTTCCAATTTCAAACCAAATTTTTTTGTTGTCGATTATGATATAACAACAAAGTAGTAAAAAAGATTTTATTTAAGGAATTTTTTTGGCCAGTTATGCAGGTTATTTTTTTTTCCTTCTTGTTAATCTTTTGTACTTGTCAAATTTCATCACACGATTTGGTCAATTTTTTTTGGTTGGTTGGTTAAAACACGACCAATCAATATTGGAGAGAATAAATTGCTTTTTGAATATGCGAATAGATATGTATAGATGGCGGATGTGTATAGGATTATTTTTGACATCGAAAATCTAATTTAAGAAGAAAAAAAAATTGTTTTCAGATTTTTTTGTTTTGTTTTGTTGCTGTATCCTTATCCTGTTTAGAACAAAAAACAGTTTTTTTTCTGGTTCAATATGATATTCCTAATTTGCAAATAATCAAACAATTTAAATATCGGAATATAGGAATTTAACTAATTTTTTTTCTTCCTGGTGATCTTCCTCAATTTTTTTCTATTTATTACTGCTTCACCGATAAAAAACCAAACTTAGATGGCTATGGTTGTGTATTACTTTATATAAAAACAATTTTTCAACAACAATCCACATCCAATAATCACATCATCATCATTCAAAATTCACTTACTCTCTTCCTCCCTTTTTTTTTCTTTTTCTTTTTGCTTTTGGACAGCGACAATCACACACACACGGTCTGACTCTTTTTTTCTTTCTTTCTTTTCACTGTTGCAACGACGACGACGACGAAAAAATTCATTCATTTAAACACCCTCCCTCCCTCTTTTCCTCATTTTTTTTTCTTTCTTTGGAAATCCGTATTCTGTTGCTCTATTGATGATGATGATATATATGTTACATATAGCTTATATACATACAATATATCCATTTTTTTGATATATATGTTGTATACCATTGAAATGAATGGTGTGAGTAATTTTTTGTTGTTGTTGTTGTTGTCAATATTTCGTCTGCTCTTTCTCCTCCGTTTTATATTTGCTTCTCGATTGTTGTTGTTGTTGTTGTCGATGCTGATTTTTTCCGATGATGATGATGATGATGATGATGTTGATGTTGATGTTGTTATATCTTCTTCTGTCGCTTTAATATCCTATCTATCCTGTGTTTGTGTTGTTTGGTTCGATGATGGTGTCTCCACAACTGTATACAACAACAACAACAACAACAAAAACTCAATTCGCTCAAAAGGCCGTATTTTCACAAATTTTTTTTTTTCGTATTGGCACAGCAGACAGACATATACACACGGAGATATTAAAACCAATGGATAGCGCTTTGGCTATTTTGCTTGTGATTTTTATGTTATTTTTTTTCTTTTCTCCCTTATTATTTTTGTGATGAATGAATTGTTGTAATGTATGTATGGTTATAGCTTTAATCTATGTAATGTTGTCACACTGTAATATTGTGTGTGTATGTGAGTGTGTGTTTTTTTTTCGTTGAGCCACATACAAAACAAAACAAAACAAAAAAAAATATCGACGCCATTTTGTTGATTTCTTATATGTGTTGGTGTTTTCCGATGTTGTCTTAATATTATTTGTTTATTTTTGATTAATTCTATTCATTTTTGGTCAACATTGTGTGTGTGTTTCTGTGTTATCAATTCACATTTCTAATTCGTTTGGATTCTTGTTTAAATTTTCTATGATTTTCATTTTGATACCAAAAAAAAAAAACAAAAGAATTCTCATCATATATTCAATATTGTTGCATTTCGGTATGTTTGTTCATTTTGTTTTTTGTTTAGAGAGCATTTGATGATTATATGTTCGGATATATGTGAATTACCGTGTTGCTGTTTTGTTTCGTTTTTCTCATTTAATTTGTATACGTGTTATTGTTTTTTTTTGGCTATCTGATTTCATTTCCAGCTTTACCAATTTCCTTTTTTTCACATTATTTTGATTGATTGATTTACCTTTGTTGTTGTTGTTGTTCTTACTATACTATTGCTATTGCTCTTTCTTTGTATGGCTGTTGTTTAATGGCAATGTTTGTCGCCGAGTTGTCGTCATCATCATAGATGTGTTTTAGATTTTTTTTTTATCTTTGAAAATAGAAATGATAATGATGACGACAACAACAACTCCATCCTATGTTTTTATTATAAGTGATCATGATTGTTGTTGAGACAAAGACTATCCATTGAAAATACAGTCAACAATTTTTTTATTTTATTTATATAATTTTTTTATCCTGCATAATTGATAAAGATTAATAATTTGTTGTTTTTTTTATAATTTTCTTGAAAAAATATAGTGGACTTGTGAGCTTGGCGACTCAATTTGTAGAGCCGTCAGCTAACACTTGTTCGCAATTGCAGCAAAAAAAAAGCGACATTAATTTGTGGATATGTTGTCTTCGGTGATGTTTGCAGCCATGGAACATAACCTCCAGCAGCCGGTACCGGCGCCAACAACCAGTACAACGGCGCCTGGATCTAACCATCATCCATCAATTGATCCAAGAAAACAGGAGCTGCTCGAGGCTCGTTTTATGGGCACAAGTCAACGTCTATCAAATGTTGGTAGTTATCTTAGCACACAATCACAGCAATCGATACCGCCTCATTATATCCCCGCCGCAGTTACAGTTGCAGCCGCCAATACCCATCCATCGAGCATTTATTCATTATCAAATCAACATCATCCGCCATTAGCGCCTCCAGGTCCTCATGCCCATCTGGTATCACCACATACGAAAGCTTCATCACCATCATCATTGATGCAGCCTCAACACCAGATACATTCGGCCACATCTTCATCAACAAACTCCAATCCATCATCATCAAGTCCTAGCATTCCTGTCGCTCCAAATAGCTCTCCATTTTCTTCGACATTAAATCAGCAGCAATCACAATCTCAGCAGCCTCAACCTCTTCCACCTCTTCCGCTACAAAGCGGTCAACCACAATCAACATCACAACAAGCGCAGCAACAAACTGCTGCTCAAGGCTTAAATTCCGTACCTCCACCATCGTTTTCGTTGGTCAATACGGTGGCCATCAACAATAACTCCAACAACATCAACAATAATAATACCAACAATAATAGTAATAATAATCCTTCTAACTCATTGGCAAATAATAATTCGGGAGGATCAACACAATCATCATGTCATTATTCTGCTCATTCCTCTTCACATAATCAAGACTCTAATCTTTCAACTGCATCTGGTGGTAGTCATTGTTCCGATAAGCAAGATCCACCAACTTCGATGCATTGTGATAATATTCATTCTCATAATATAACCGTGACGCCAGAGAAACGTTCATTAAGCCAATTAGACAATAATACGGCGACGCCTCCCTCAGGTTCCAACGGAGCCAATAATGTCACATATGCTAATCAAAGAAAAAGAAGGAAAAAAGATGAATCGTTACCTGAACGTAGCAATTCAATCAATTCCAAACGTGAAACAAATAAAAAAGTGACCGAGTATTTCAAAGTAAGTCGCTTGTTGAATATTAATTTCAATTGATAACAATATTTATTTCCATTGCAGAATCATTCAAGCCCTAGTCGATATAATGCAGCTGGCGCTAAATCGCCAACCTCCAGTTCTCTACCATTCTATTCAATGTATCAGCAACAGCAAGTGGTTTCATCAACTTCTTCGGCTACAAGTGCTTCGACAAATCTACTTGCGACAACGTCCGCCGCTGCCGCCTCTACTGCCAATGATCACAATTTGATTCATCAGCATCAGCATTCTATATCGAGCTCCTTTATGACGCCACAAAATCGTGTGTCCGGTTCGACGGCGAATCATTTGCAGCATGTGAATTCAATTACAAATCCTAGTATAAGTTTTAATGCGAAAAATATGTCATCATCTACTACTCAAACAGATCTTACGATGTCTAAATTAATTAATCAAGATGAACATTATGCTGCCGAGCTCGAACAACGTGATAATAAAATTGAAGAGCTGACACGTTCTATAGAAGAGTTAAGAAGACAAGTCAAAGTATATCGCGAAGAAAATGAATCACAAAAATCTCGACTAAACAAATGTATTGATGTTACGAAGCAATTATTGGTAGAAAAAAGCCTTATGGAAAAGAAAGCTGCAAGACAAAAATGCATGCAAAATCGATTAAGACTTGGTCAGTTTGTAACCCAAAGACAAGGTACGTATAATTTTTTCAATAAATTTGAAAAAAGTAATATCGAAAATTTATTTTGTCAAGGAGCCGTATTTGCCGAAAATTGGGTAGATGGTACGGCATTCACAGAACTAATCAAAAAACAAGAACAAATTGCAACAGCTAGAGAAGAAATCGAACGACAACGTAAAATGTTGATGAAAAAACGACCATTAACTACTGGTAAATCAAAATCTTCATCAAATGGTGATAATTCGAATAGTGAATTTGCTAAACCCGAATCCCCAAAAGAAATGAATTGGTACGAATATTATGAACAAGATGAAATTCTCAAGCTACGATCTCAAGCATTGAAAAAAGAAGATGCTGATCTACAATTAGAATTAGAAAAGCTAGAACGAGAAAGAAATTTGCATATCCGAGAATTAAAACGTATTCATAATGAAGATCAATCACGATTTAATAATCATACTACATTGAATGAACGATTCCTATTACTCATGTTATTGGGTAAAGGTATGTATTTTCTTTGTTATTTGTTTTACAAAACAATAATACTTATAATTTATTTTATAGGTGGATTTTCTGAAGTACATAAAGCATTTGATCTGAAAGAACAACGTTATGTTGCCTGTAAAATACATCAATTGAATAAAGAATGGAAAGATGATAAAAAAGCCAACTATATCAAACATGCATTACGAGAATATAATATACATAAACAATTGGATCATCCAAGAGTGGTTCGATTGTATGATGTATTTGAAATTGATGCCAATTCATTTTGTACAGTCCTTGAATACTGTGATGGTCATGATCTTGATTTTTATTTAAAACAACATAAAAGCATTCCTGAACGTGAAGCTCGTTCAATCATTATGCAAGTGGTACATGCACTTAAATATCTGAATGAAATCAAACCACCAATCATTCATTATGATCTTAAACCCGGTAATGTCCTTCTTTTAAAAATTGTTGATTGAATAATAATAAAAAATTTTTGCATCTAATAGGAAATATACTGCTAAGTTCGGGTACAATGTCCGGTGAAATTAAAATAACCGATTTTGGTCTTTCGAAAATAATGGATGAGGAAAATTATTCACCGGAAAATGGAATGGATTTGACCAGTCAAGGTGCCGGTACCTATTGGTATTTACCACCAGAATGTTTTGTTGTTGGCAAAAATCCTCCCAAAATTTCATCCAAAGTTGATGTAAGTTTTTTGTTTGTTTGAATCGATATGATTTCAATTGTAACCTTTTTGTTCAGGTTTGGAGTGTTGGTGTTATATTCTATCAATGTTTATATGGAAAGAAACCGTTTGGTCATAATCAATCACAAGCAACTATCTTGGAAGAGAATACGATTCTAAAAGCTACAGAAGTCGAATTCGCTTCTAAACCACCAGTCAGCAATGAAGCAAAGGTTGTTATTTTTATCTTTCAATATTATTTTTTTGCTAACCTTTTTTATTGTTTTTTAGCAATTCATTCGCCGTTGTTTACAGTATCGCAAAGAAAATCGTTTAGATGTGATAGGATTGTCCAACGATGAATACCTCAGGCCAAAAACTAAACATGGTTTTGGAATAATAGAACGAACCGAAAGTAGTAAACATAATAATAATAGTAACAGCAGTAACAATAGTTTGTGATAATCAAGACATTACCACCTTCTTCACTTCATTTGGATCCATGTTCAAAAAGTTTTTTTTGGCAAATTTTCACATAAAAGGACAAAATAAACACAATCGTGGTGTGATTGCCCTAATCTTCATGGCAAAGATGGTCAACATTTTGGCTTAATTATTCATCTTTAGTTTTAATTTAGCCTTAATGTTTGCTAATGTTTACGTGTTTTTATGAATGGATACAATTATTAGACATTCGAATTGGAACCAAAAACACCTGAAAAACAAAATCTGTGATGTTAAACTCTTATTCACCTTTCTCTCTTGCTTGATGTCGATTCATGATGAATTGTTCGATGCAAAGAAAATTTAACAAACAAAAAGTATGGAACAAGTTGATAATAATAAAATACGTTTCGAAACATGAATTATTTCGATTTATATTATGGAACAATTATTAAGAAAATTTCATCATTCAGTTATTGTGACTTTTGTTGAATATATGAATGGTTTGTACAAAATGATGAAGAAAAAGACAAAAATCAAGACATGAAAATGTTTAATTACACTTATAAAATCATCATCATCATTATCATCAATGCACATAATTCTTTTCTTTTTCTTTTATATATCCATACGCAAAAATAAAATCTTTTGTTTATTTGTATTTATAAAATTAAAATATTTTGGGATTTAATTTTTTTTTCTGTCATACGGGCAAATGAATAATGAAAAAAAAATCTGTTAATTAAATTTGTAATATTGTGTAATTAAAAAATACATTATTCATTTTACAGTGAAAAAAATTGACACAAACACACTAACAAAAATCATTTGGATTCTTTTTTCTTTTTTTTGTTTGATCTGCCATTTCATTTTAATTGATCATTCGTTGAAAAAAAATCCATAAACATTCAATCGATAATATCCATTAAATACGACTAATCAAAAACCGAATGAAAGAAACAAAAAATGATCCCCAAATTCATTGATTCTGTACAAATATACATAGAATGGAAACTTTTTTTTCATCTCAAAATTCGATTCAAATGATAACAAAAAAGATCATCAACATTAAAACAATAACACTATTTTATACTAATTATTATCAATCGATTATAATTTAAAAGCAATTTTTACCAGCTGGAAATGATTAACCAGCTTTGTTTGTGAACAGAATTATTGTTAACAATGATGATTAATTGAAAATAAGAAATGAAATAATTCTAAATCGATCAATGTATCAGTGATTTTGCTCCATCAATCGACAATTTTATTTTATTTTATAGGATTTTCTCCTTTTTTCGACATTTTTTCCATAACAAAATGGTAAACTCAAAACTCAAAAAATACATCATTTGAATTCGAATTCCAAATTGTTTTAATTTTTTTTTTCGTTAAATTATTCTTTCATCATTGTTCATCATTCGAAAAAAAGTCTTTCGTATTCATATTTAATAATTTTCGATTTGTATCAAAAAATGATCTTTTTTTTTTGTCGACCCAATTCGTTGATGTATCAACCTTCATAAACATTATTACATTATCATTTTCATTATCAAATGGATGATGAATAATTTGTTAAATAAACTATTGTTTTATTTTGATATAAAAAAATTTTCAACATTAATTTTTTCATTTCAATGATATGTTGTTTATAATAATATAAAATGGCGGCCAATTTCATTTGCAAACTATATAATTATATTTAGATTTATTAGCTGGTTTAACCATGTTGGTCAGAACTGGACAATCCCAAACGGTCAGTATCTATGGAAACACAATCAATCAAACATTCAGAGATTTTCAACCACCAATTTTAGGTTCCAAATAATATAACATTGTCAAAATATGAAACAAATCTCTTACCGGCGACGTAAGTAATCAAGTTGAAAACCGCTGAATTAGCAAATTCTTGCTCATTCTTGTTCATGCAATACAAAAAAATTACGATTTATTTGTTCATTTCATCATCATCATGAAATCATCATTGTTGATTAGTTTTTTAATAATTTTCTTTCTCATTGACAATTGGACTTTGGCCCAAAGACCTGGTCAACGTAGAAAACCGACTCGTAAACAACAAAAGAATCGAGGACGTAATCGTGGACAAAAAAATGAAGATCCAGGAATTTATTGTTATACTTGTTTTGCAGATTTTGAACGTGTTCCATTGACGGTATTCAATCCGGTTACTTACATTTATAACAATCCATGCTACAATCCAGCATTGAATTATACTCTTACAGATAATGAGTATTTAACCAAATGTTCATCGACAACCAAATATTGCATGGTTGATGTAACCCGATTGAACAGAGTACTTATTTCAGTCGATCGACGTTGCGGACAATCAACTTGTCGTAAAACCTGTCTTTCACGTGGATATGGAGTTATTCGTGAAACTTGTACATTTTGTTGCGGTGGCCGTATAAATGAAGATCATCCAGATTATGATGAAGAAATCAATTCAGTTTACAAATGTCCCAATGAACCTCATTGAATGAAGATGAATTATAATTGTTTTAATTATTCTCTAAAAGTTTATAATTACTAATATAATGGTGAATGTAACAAGTTATTATTTTGAATTATGAAATTCTGCCAATGATTTTCTGATTGTTTCTTTGTCGGCTGTAGCAATAAAATAAATTTTTTTTTTAATTAAAATCATACAATCAAAACAATGAATGTCGTACCTTTTCTATATTCTTTGATCATTCCAACAGTTAATTTTTTGATTTCATCCGAAGTTAATACTACTTCATATTCGCGTTCAATACGTTGTTGCATTTCAACTGCCAATATGGATTCCATGCCAACATCGCCCAATGATAAATTATCTGGCAATGAATCCATATCTATACCGATTCCTTGCCAGATATGATCTTTAGCATTCGAATTATTTCCTAAAATTGAAAATCATAAAACAAATCAAACTAATGAAATAAAAATAAAGATTGCACAAACCAGCTTGCTCTGTAGTTTCCAAACGAACAATAGAAGTAACAATAGGATAATCAAGAGATAAAAATCGGTCCAATACTTCCATACAACTTGGAATACGTTGCGTATTGATTACCATGCCAATGCTTGTCAAATCTACGTGTTCATTTTGAGCCCATAAGCCTACATCACCAATCGGGCCATATGCGATAGCTTGTCCCGGGAATCCATCACGACGACGTTTCTCACAAATATGTTCCATTACTGAATTGGCATATCCATAATTGTTTTGTCCAAGAAAACCACGTGCAGAACTTTGCGATGAGAAAGCAACAAAATAATCAAGCTCTGGACACATTTTACGCGTTACAACATCCAAATGACCAAGTGCATACATTTTTGGAGCGCAAACTTTTTTAAATGATTCAGGAGTTTGATCTTCAATAAAAGCATCGCTCAATACCGTAGCAAAATGAAATAAACCGCCAATAGGACCTAATTTTTCTGATTCCATTATTAATTGTTCGGCGCCTTTTAATGATGTTGGATCGGATGTTGAAATTTCTACTTTAACAGGTTCGTTATTTTTGGCGGCATTTTCAATTCTCTTCACAAAAACATATTGATATTCGTTTTTGATACCACTCCTTGAAACAAGAACTAACTTTCGAGCTCCTCTAATGGCCATCCAATAGGCTACTTCCAATCCAAGACCGCCAAGACCACCGACCAGAATATAACATTTATTAAAATCAAATAATGTTTTTGGTTTTGCTGAAATCTTAATTGCTGTTGATGATGGTTCTGCAATATTTGTCTGATCACGAATACGAATTAATACTTTCCCAATATTTTCTTCTTGATTCAACACATCAAAGGCTTGTTTGAATGAATTTCTGTCAAACGTAGTTTGTGGAATCGGATCAAAACATTCTAAAAAATTGAAAAATTAGTTTAAATATAATTGATCATAAAAAATAAAATTTATACTTCTCGCAAATTGATCGAACCAGATTCGAAAATCTTTCATTAATCTAGGCAAAAATTTACGGAATGATTTTTCACAAATTAGTGAAGATATGTTTAAATATTGTGCATTGCGAGATAGTGGATTATTACAAGTGGATTTAGGTTGATCAATATCAATGTAACGTCCATAATCTCGAACAATGGGCAATAAGTTTGGTAATTTTTGGTTTGAAAGTGTATTTAAAACGACATCAACTCCCAAGTAGGATGTGGCAACAAGAACCTGATCGATGAAATCAGAATCATCAGAATTTAAAATATTTTTCTCTGGTATGTCAAAATTTTCAATCAAATATCTTCGTTTTTGTTCGCTGTTTGCCGTAGCAATAATAGTGCAATCCATTTGATTGGCAATCTGAAGAGCCGACAGACCATTTGCACTTGTTCCAGGATGAATGAGAATCGTTTCGCCTATAAATGACAAGATTATATCAAAATTGTTTCACAACCAATAATAATAAATAGTACCAGGCTGAAGATGAGCTTTGTGTATCAGACTACACCAAACAATGAATAAGGAATTTATTGAAGCAGCACCGTCTTCAAGCTTCCATTTGTCTGGAAGTGATATCAATAATTGAGGATCGATATCAATCGAAGTTGAGATAGCTCTATGAAATGCTAATCCCATTACTCTTTCTCCAGTATCCATTCGATAACCAGAAAATTCTGTGCCTAATGACCGTTCAATGAATTCCATACCCATTGAACCAGAACTGAGAAGCAAATCTTTTGGATCCAATCCAGCATAATGGATTTGAACATTCACATCATTATGATTGATATGTTTAATCAACGGTGAAACTAGCCACTTGATGCTGGACATATCTCCTTTTTTGACGATATCCAAATAAACTTCACTACTTTCTACAGTATTGTAATTACGTTCCAAATCCAATAATCGATAAGTTCCCCATTGACCATTTTTGAATACATTCATAGCCAAATCTTTTTTCAAAATTTCATTATAAGGTGCTTGATTGAAATCGATTGGTCTCGGTAATTCTGTATCACTGTAAATGCAACGAAATCGATCACCGCCAGGTTCTTGACGAAGACAATTTGTCATTCCAAGAATGCCGCTCAAATCGTTATCATCTGAAATCATCCAGATATTTTCATTTTTAGGGCGAGTCTTGTACATGGTGAATGAATTCTTCAATTTATCCACCCATTCGTCGAAACGACCAAAATAAACAGGCACGGCTATCTGTTTGTTTGGATCTAAAATTTCGATTTGTTTGCGAAATAATATGCAAGTTGATGTGATACCATCACTTTTCTTTGTAATCAAGTTAAAACCGGCTGCTATAGCGCTGTTTTCAAAATTTTCAATCTTTTGGCTTAAATTAGAAGTATTTATCGTTTTTCCTAAAAAAAATTTTCATTAATTTAAAATCATTGTGGAATAATTCATACCGAAAAAATGATGAACCATCTGTTCAGCTTTTGAAATTTTTGAACGAAACACTGCAAACAAGAATCCATTTTCTTTGACACTGAATGAGATTTCTTTAGCAAAATTTTTCCAATCAATATTATCCAGGTCAAAAGAATCTCTGAAAATAAATAGATCTGCTGGTGCTTCGATTGCTGGTAATTTGAAATCTTCGGCATTCCAATTAATAAGTTTATGAGTTGAATTTCGTATGTCTTCGGGTAAAGAAGAAACATTTTTTACCAATAAATGTGAATCTACAACAAGAGGATAATGGAAATAACCATTCATGTGACGCATCAAATCATCAATCAAAATCTGTTGATTATAATTAGCTTCAACAACAGTTAAATTACGAAGACTGTTTTCATTGATGATATCTAAAAGTGATAGGGAAATGTCATATATTATTCACAAACTTTGTGATATCAAAAAAAAAATTGTCATACCTAGAGATGATCTAATTAAGCGACCATTTTTATGGCAAGTATTGAGACAATCTTGAGAAAGATCAAAACCATTTTCGATTACTATTTTCTGCACTGTAGGCCAATTTAGAATTCCATCACCAATGATATTACCATTCTCATCTACGATACATTTGAAACAATTTACAAGTACATTGAGCAATATTTGTTCTGATGATAGATTTTGATTAAGAATGCGAGCAATATTTTCATCAATAATTCTTTGTGTTGATAATTTGTTTCCAGCCAAAATGATTGATCGAGCCATCGTATCGCAATCTTTTATATATTGTTCAAGTTCATTATAATCTACCGTTTCGATTGCTTTCTGTTCTTGAAACGGTACAAATTCATATTTCTCTAATTTGACATCGCGCATTACATTTTTCAAGGAAATATGAACAAATTTCAATTCTCGTATTTCGATGCCACGACTGGCAACATATTTTAGATTAGAATCTATAATAACTGGTAAATCTTCTTGTGGTGAATCATAAAGCATTCTTGGATCACATTTAAATGATGGTAAAACGGAAGCCACATAAATAAATCGTTGATCAGTATGTGCTACACTGAGTTGAATCATTGATTCGACAAACGTGACAATATTATTCGACCATCGAACCATAGCACGAGAACTATCAAAACTGGAAAATTCAATTTCCTGAATTTGTTTAAATTTAGGTCCATAATCATAACCTCGAACATTCATTTCGGTATAAAATTCATTAGTATTCAATTTGTGTCCCGATCTAAACAAAGAAAATGGCTAAGAAAAAAAAAGATAAATTCATTTTAAATAAATCACTTACAGAGAAGAATTTCCTTTTTCAAAATTATCAACAAGATGCTGATATTGGAAATCAATTTGGTCTGGCCGACGAATCCTTCCTGAAGCGGCTATATTATTTCCATCCAGTATAACGAATTCTCCAGTAGGATCCAAAAGACGAACTTTGAGCGACATTTCATCATCAGACAATGGAATTAATCGTTTGAATTCAACATTTTCAAATATTACTGGAAATGAGAACCAAGGTTGACCAAGAGAAACACCCAAACGTCGCCATGCCATTAACAAATAGCTAGTTGCTGGTAGGACACATTTCCCATCGAATGCATGATCTTTTAAAAATTGATCATCAGGATTTGATAATGAAAATTTTGAAACAAAATCAGAAGCAGTCGCTTGAGAATGATATTCCGGATATTTCTTCACAAAAAATGATTTACTATGTTCCCAACGAAACAATGAGCCAATTGATTGTGTATTACGTGGAACAGGCCATTCAATTCGAGGATATAATTCCTTGATGGTCAGATTCACACCGAATTGATAGAGCTGGCCCAGCGAATTAAAATAAAAATCTAAATTTCCAGCATTATTACCACGTCTCATCAATCCAACATAATTCGAATTGGGCATGCTCCGTTTGAATATTGCTGAGAATAATGTGTGCGATGCAATTTCAATAATAATTGCATTAGCCGGAATATGTTTAGTTGCATCGTGCAACAAAACTGGATTGATTAAATTATTTACAAAATATTCAGGTGAAGCTTTTTTTGCTTTATCCGAAGACCAGTCTTGTTCCGGTATAGAAGTAGAAATCCATTTTTCACTTCGATATTTTGGTTCAGGAATAATTTTTTTTAAAACTTCCATCATTGGTTCGACAGCCGGTTTCAAGAATGGCGAATGAAAAGGAATGTTTGCACATTGAACTTCTTTAGCAAAAATTTTCTCTTTAGTCATAGCTTCAACGCAAGAACCTACAGCATCATAACTTCCAGAAATTGTAACCGAATCCTCTGAATTATGACAAGCAGCATAAACACCAGTTGAACATCTTTTAACCGTTTCTTCCCAAGTAAGTCCAACTGCAGCCATCATACCGTGTTCAATATTAGAATCTTTAACAGCTTTTCCACGCCAGAAAGAAGTTGTTATCGCTTGTTCTAATGTCAAACATCCATCAGCATATGCGCAAGCGATTTCCCCAAATGAATGACCCACTATGTAATCCGGTTGAACATCAAGTGCTTTAAATATATCGACTAAAGCGATTTGTACGGATGAAATAGCCACAAAATGGTGAACTTTGTCTTCCAAAGCTTTCGGATCTTCCGATAACAAAATGTAATCCAAATCAAGTTGAAATGGTTTCAAAATATCTGCACATTTCTTTATGGAGGCAGCGAATATGTCAATGTCCATCATAGCTTTAGCCATACCTGACCATTGACTTCCCATACCGGAGAAGAAAAAACAAATTGGGCGTTTGACGTTATCAACTTTTGAAATTTTTCGGCTATATTGATATGAATTGGTAGTTGATTCTTTGATCAACATTGAACCTCGATAGGGAAAACCAGCCGAATAGATACTTGGTTCATAATTAACAGTCTCACCAAGAAGAGTAAGAAATTCTTGCGTAACACGATTTGGATTGTTTTCAATAAAATCAAATATATGACTAATTGAATCTTCAGTTCGACCATTGATGTTGACAAGCCGAGGTACTTTTCCGACAATCTTATAACTTTCGTCACTGCATTCTTTTTTATTCGGCCTAACCAAAGCATGAGCATTCACACCGCCAATGCCAAACGAATTAATTCCAACAATTCCAGGTTCATAATCTCTATTCTCAGTAACCGGATCAAGTGGTGGAACCATTACAGCTATGTCGGTCTTGATTTTTTTCAAATTAAGATTTGCAGGGATTTTTTTGTTTTCATAAACAATGCACAGTTTTGATAATGATGCTACTCCTGATGCACCTTCACCATGACCGATGTTACTCTTGAGCAAACCAATCGGCAATTTGCCTTTGCGATTTTTACAATATGCTTCCAAAATGGCTCTTGCTTCTTGTGGATCTCCAGCTTTTGTACCAGTGCCATGACTTTCAAAATAATTAACTTCCAATGGATCAACACCAGCCTCAGTATAGGTGGCTACCATAAGATCATATTGACTTTCAGTTGAAGGAAAAAACATTCCGGTTAGTTTATAGCCATCGATATTGGTTTTTGCATGAAGAATTGTAGCATAAATACGTTTGGAATCAGATTTTTTCTGTAGAAATAAACTGCAAACAGTTTCACCACGAACATAACCATTGGCTTCTTGATCCCAAACTTTGGATCGACCATCAGGTGCGGCAATATTATTAACTTTATAAATGTGATTTGTAAATGGTTGAAGATTGATACTAACACCGGCCACAATCGCTTGATCACATTTACCTAATCGTAAATCTGTAACAGCAATGTCAAGACAAACCATAGATGATGCACATGCGATATCGATTGACATTGATGGGCCATGAAAATCATAAAGAAATGAAACTCGATTAGCATAAAATGCTTTGGATCCACCTTGAAACCATAAAAGAGATTCTACTTTCGAAGCTTGAATATCGTCTTGCACTTCTTGTGGTACTCCATCTGGCATAGCAACCGATGTATACCCAACATAAACACCAGTATTACTTCCTCTCAATGTTTGAGGATTAATTCCAGCATCAACAATTGCTTCCCATGTAGTTTCCAGAAGAATTCTGCCTTGTGGATCAACCTCATCAGCTACTTTTGGTATGATGCCAAAAAATGAAGCATCAAACTTATCGATCTCTTTGAGTTTTCCCATTCGATGGGTCATTCCATAAAGATCTTTAAATGAAAAATTTGATAACTTTATTTTAATTTATTGATTTCTGTGACAACTAACCTGTTGACCAACGACGATCATCTGAAGTGATCATATCTACATTGTTGTACAAGTTATCACGAAATTCATCCAATGAATTTGATTCTGGATAGCGGCCACCGATTCCACTGATGACAATCTCATCATCAATAATATTCCATGGAAGCACTTTGTTTACGGTTGATTGATGATTTTCCATAATTTTAAAATTAACAAGCGAATGTTTCGCTATAATTTTTATAGTTTAGTGTTCAAATTCAAAATTAATTTATCATCGGATTAATGATAATAGTCACACACACACAATACTAATGAATGTTTTCGAAGAGAAATGAATTATATCCTATACAAAACATACACCTTAATATTTAAATCAATCAACGTCATATCGTTTGAAACAAAACAAAAAAATTTAACCACAAAAAAAAATTTATTTTTTCATCGATCGATACCCTTAACAATGAACAACCATTGTTTTGATTAAATCTATTAAAATCTTTGTAAAAAGAAAATCTTCAAATTCCAAAGTCTCATCTTAATATTTCCTCGATAATGCGGTACTATTTTCTACAATGTACTAAGTTCGAAACAAATCAGATAGAATATACCTTGAAATAAAATTAATTATTAATTAAACAAAAAGAGAATAGTTGTACATTTAGGTCAAATATTATGACGATAAATGAATTGAATGAACTTGAAATAATTTATTTTCACATTTATTTGAAGGTTTTTTTTGTTAAAATTTAAAATTTAAAATTATATACCATTATCTTGTTGAATCATATCTGATCCGTATTCAGCAAACATCATGATTGGTGCGTTAGTATTACCGTTGGTAATCTGTGGAAAGATCGAGCCATCAATAACACGAAGACGATTAACATTACGTACTCGTAATCTTGGATCTACAACTGAATCAGTTGTATTACCCATTTTACAAGTACCAACTTGATGTCCAACTGTTGATGTGATTGTTCGCGCATAACATTCCAGATATGATCGACATTTCCAGATTGGACCACTAGAACAAAGCTGACAACCAGGTATTGGTTGGCGATATAATCGTACATATTGATCAAATGGTGGCATGCTTGCTAATTCCAAAGCAGTTGATATAACTTCAATCATTGCATCGACATCATATTGTTCAGTCAAATAACGTGTATCAATCAATGGATAATCATGAGGATCGGATGAGTTTAGATAAAGTCGACCAATTGAACGTGGTCGATAAAGAAAACAAAGAATACCTAAACGATTTCTTTGGCCAACATGTGGACGATAATAGTCTCGCCATTGATCACGATAAACGGGGCTATATCGTGCAACAATTTGTTCAAGATCATTCACCAATGGACTAACGGTAAAATCAATTTGAATATCAGGCCAATCAGTTTCATTATTCATATGACTATTAAAGTACATATAAGCAATGGGAAATTGAGATAATGGACCAGCAGAATTGACGAAATTATTGTACATATTTTCAAGTGTCCAATCAATTCCCGAAGTAATAAGTGATTCATTGAAAATTTCATAATCCAATTGAACAAGTATATGATCTTTCAGATTATATCCAACTGATAAATTGACAAGAGTTTCGATTCCAAATTCACTTAGATGTTCAGACGGTCCAACTCCAGACAACATCAATAATTGTGGTGTATTTATTGCACCTAGAAAATAAATAAATAAATAAATTTTTCGAATTTCATTGATTATTAATTTACCTGCACAAAGTATGACTTCTCGTTTTGCATAAACTTGTCGTGTTTGATTTTCATATTCATATTCAAAACCGATAGCTGTAATTCTGCCATCACTATCACGAGTTTCATTAAACAAGATTCGAGTTACAAATGCTTTGGTTAGGATTTGTAAATTAGGCCTTTCAACATTAGCTTCAAGATAGGCACTTGCTGTTGTGGATCGAGTTGCATTTTCAAATATGGTTTGTTGAAAATAATTAATTCCAAATTGTGTCGGTCCATTTTGATCAACTTTAGGAATTCCTCGTTTTATTAGTTCCTCTTTAAAGATATTGACTATTGGATCTGGATTTTTTGGTGTCATCACAGTGACAGGACCATTTGTTGAATGATAATCAGGATTTATTGCTCTGATTTTTGGATCAGTATTGTTTTCGGATCGAAGAAAATATGGTAATACTTCTCGATAACTCCAACCGGTCGCACCGAATTCTTCGACCCAAGTATCATAATCTCTGCGATTTCCACGACTGTAGGCAAGATAATTTAGATTATGAGAACCACCAACAACTAAACCACGAGGTATCGCAACATGACCATCAAAAGCACGGCCCGAATATGGTAATTGAGATGTAGTTTCATAGCCCCAATCTACTTCGGTTCCAACTTCTTCTCTAGCCCAGCTAGGCGTATCAGTTATAACTGTTTGTGGTCCACCGGCTTCCAACACTAACACAGTAATATTAGGATTTTCTGTAAGCCTAGCAGCAATTATAGAACCAGCTGTTCCAGAACCGAGAACAAGAAAATCATATTGATCAGCAATTGGCTGTCTGGTTTTAATTGAATTATGACGGATTGTTCGCTGTAAAATGATAACAGAAACTGTTAATAATTGTACAGTTAGCGATGGCAATGTTGGTAAAGGTTGCAATACAGACTGTCTTCCAGATAGAATTTCAAGCTCCATGATAAATTTTTTTTATATGAAAAAAGAAATATTTTGGTTTTTGCAAAAATTTATATGCTTCCTGATGATCATTTATAAAAACCATCATAAATATTTGAATAATTGATAACCAGCAGTTTACGATAATCAACTTGTATTTATTCATTTATTTTTGATAAAAGTAACATTTTGAATAAAACAGTAAAAAATTGTGAAAAAATGTTGGATTTTAAAATTTTAAACGTAAACAGAGCCCCCATCAACAACCAATGAATGTCCTGTAACAAATGATGATTCAGAAGAAGTCAAATATCCAATAGCATTGACAACATCTTCGGTTGTTCCAATTCGTCTTAATGGATTGGTTTGTTCAAGATGTTTAAGTACGCCATCAAGAATTTCTCCAGCACCAGTTGCAGATTGAAAATTGGTTCGTACAGCAGTCGGACTGATTTTTTTTTGAAAAAATGATGTTAATTTTGATTTACATGTAATTAGGAATCCAACTTACTTAACAGTGTTGACACGAATTCCTTTTGGTCCAAGTTCTAAGGCAATACATTTGGTAAACATATCGACTGCCGATTTAGCCACACAATATGGCATGAAATGTACATTCTTATAAATTTTAAACATTATTCAATGAAATCAATCAAATAAAATTGATACATACCGGTTTGAATGATAATGTACTAGAAATATTTACAATAATACCATTTGTTTTTTCAAGATGTGGCACAGCCAATTGAGTTATCATGGCAATTGATTTAACATTTAAATTAATCATACGTTCTAATGTTTCCAAAAGTTTTGGATCATAAATACTGCCAAATGCTCCAGCACCTGCATTGTTGATAAGAATGTCCAATTTTCCAAAACGATCAATAGTGTTTTCTATCAAACGTTTACAATCATCTTCTTTAGTGACATCGGCTTTTATTTGTAAAGCTCGATATTCTGAAAATATTAAAAAAATTAATACTTTTTTTAAGAAAAATTATAAACTTGACTGACTTTTTGGTGAAATACATTGACATTCTTCGGCAGCTTTTGCAATAGCCACAGGATTACGTCCATTGATGACTACTTTGGCACCGCAACGTGCATAATATTTTGCTGTTTCCAAACCAATACCACCACTTGAACCTGTTATCAGTACAACTTTGTCACTAAAATCTCTGCAACGGCCATACATTTTATTGATTGAAACTTGTGTCGATGATAAAGATGAATGATTTGTTGAAATTATTTCAGAATTTTCAATAACGTGATTACTATTGGACGAATCAATATTAACTGCTTGTTGTGAACTACAAGTCAACTTAGAGAATAATGATTTAACAAGTGGCATCTTCAATGGCTATTTATTGGAATCGAAATACAAATAATAAATAAATAAATACAGTATGCAATGATTCGAAAATCAGATAATTTTATTCAATGCTGAAACCAAAACAAAAATTTGATGAAAAACATTTTCATTTTCATTTGAAAGTATAATTTTATCTTAACTTGATCATCAGTTGAATGCAACAAAACAAAACAAAAAAATTATAACTAAAGAAATCGATGACAAGGAAACATACTATAGGAGAACTTTTGACGGCGGAAAGTGTTAATCGACCAAATTAATAAAATTTTTGTTTAGGCCATGATCGTTATCTACAATACTTAATGACTCATATAGTCAACAACAACAAACAATCCAAACGTAATGTTTGTTTATGCAGACTTTTCCTTAATTGCAATTGAATCCTTTTGAAAACGATTCGGAAAAATTTTTAAGTATTTAAATTTTTTAAAAAAACTAATAAAAATAAAAACCCTCCACAATTTCTAGACAACTGCAAAAAAAAAACAACAATCCATTTGTATCAAAACAATGCATTTATGAATCTATCGATTTTTCTTGTTCCTATGACATTACCAAAACACTACTACATCTTGATTTGATCGATTAAATCGAATGCAATACGGAAATGAGAATTACTAACAAACTCTATGATATTATAAGATTAAAATCAACAAAATTACTTTGGTGATTTTTATTTTTGATTTCGAATTGTTGATGAATATTTACAATTTCATTGACAAAACCATCTTTGATGAAATTCATCAGAATAAAAAATTTAAAATGATGATGAAAAAAAAACCTGTTCAAACAAGGTCACTATTATTTTCCTTTCATTTATTCATTTTGGCATTTGGAATCTTATTGCATTATTGTTTTTGTTTTTTTTTCTTTTATTACTGCCATATAACTGAATTATCCAGTAAGAAAAACAACAACAACAACAAAAAAAACGTATACAAAAATAGCAAATTACCAGAATGGTAAGCGTTTAGTTGAAAAAAATTACGAAATATTGTTTATCAAATATCTGTCGAATAGCAGCTGAAAAAATGAATCTACAAAGAAAAACTTCATCATCACATATATTGCAATATGAATCTGTCGGTTTTGAATGTTGTCATGACGTTTTTTTTTCTTTGTCGATACAACTACATCCGCATCAAATCGATTCATTCCATTGAAAACAGCAAATGATAAATGATCATCAAACAGCGCATACGTAGTCCATTAAATCGCTGTGGTTTGGCTGTATTTTTCTCGATAACATAATTATCATTCATTGTATCGTTGTTTCTAACCAGGCTTGAATCCTTTTTTATTTACAATCATTCATACATTTGTCAACACCTTATATCCAAAAACATACGATAAATTATTTCCAAAAAAACTGATTGACGATTCATTTATATTTTAATCATCAAAACATCCATATCGATTGGTAAGTAATATGATATGAAGGTTTTTATCGTATCAAATTTTTATATTATGCTCATCATGACCTTAATGTCTGTTTTTACATATATTCCGTGAAAATTAATTTGAAAGATTTAAGAATTTAACAAAAATTTAGCTGCAATTTGATTTCACTGCTGCTGCTGATGCTATAGTTGACAAAATGTACAGTGAATAAACAATGCTATGTCTTTCATACACAGATTCACATCAATTCTTTCTTTCGAATTATTTTTATATAATTAACATTAACATTTCATTCGAAGCTGTTGTTTATATCGGTTCATAATCAATTTGCTTATAATTTAATAAATAAATAAAAACTTTGTTTTAATCTTCAAAATTTACAAAGTTTAGGTCATTTACAAACTTGAAATAAATAATAAATAATAAATTTGATTATATTTTTGTTCAACAGAAAAATGGCAACAGAATTCAATTTCACTGGTAAAGTTGTCCTTATTACTGGATCATCTGGAGGTCTTGGATCGGTTATGGCTCGTGAATTCGCAAAACGAGGTGCCAATCTGGTCATTACTGGACGTCGACAGGATGGTGTTGATAAAGTTATCAATGAATGTTCAGCTTTATCACCGAATGGCGCTCAACATCATTCTCATTTAGCTGATGTTACTAAAAAAGAAGATCTTCAATGTTTAATAGATTCAACTATTGAAAAATTTGGTCACCTTGATGTACTTGTCAATAATGCAGGGGGTGGAGTTTTTGGCTCCATCTATGATGAAAAATTACTTGATAAATTGAATTCTATGATTAATTTGAATTTATATTCGGTTGTTACATTGACACAATTGGCTGTTCCTCATCTTGAAAAATCTAAAGGAGCAATCGTAAATATTTCATCGATCGTTGGACAACGAGCGGTAATTATTATATTTCTAATAAAATCTTATTTTATAATCATTTTAAAAATTTTTATTAGAATCAACATTTCATGACATATTGTGTAGCTAAGGCTGCTGTTGATATGTTTTCCAAAACTATTGCCATTGAGCTTGGTCCGAAAGGTGTACGAGTAAATTGTGTCAGGTATTGAAAAAAAAAAATAACTTATTGACATTGATTGAAAATAATTATCACAATTTTGATTGATAGTCCGACTGCTGTACGAACAAATTTTCAACAAGCAACTGGTGCTGGTGAATCTTTGGATGGTTATCTCAAACATTTAGAGGAAACAATTCCATTACGTCGTATTGCTACTGAAGATGATGTAGCAAATGCTGTATTGTTTTTAGCTTCTGATAAAAGTTCATTTATCACTGGTACCAACGTTGTCGTTGATGGTGGTAACATTCTTATCTAAACAAATGAAAAAAAAATGAAAACGGAAATAAAATATATCTGACAATGACACAATTTTTTGAATTGATAAAATGTTAATTAATTTTAAATTGGAAAATCATTTTCAAAATAAAATCATTTAGATCAATGAAAACATTATCCTGTTATTCAATAACTTTAAAAAAAATTTCCTGTCCATAATAATCAAATAAAAATAAGCAGACGATAGCTGTTGGCGTAATTGTAGTGGCATTGGATTCAATTGAATGTCAGCGTATCATGTGTTTATGTTCGATTTTAGGATACTCGACGGACGACTCGGTATCCGTATTTTTTGCTGCATGAAAAAAGTAAATAAACCATGCATTTGCTCTATGGCGTTGTCTATATCTATAAATTGTTAGCCAATAATTTTAGGAAAATTTGTTTACAGATATAAATAAATTTTTGAAGTACATTGATTGTCTGGATTTTTGAAACAATTCTGATTAATTAGCTCATCATCAATAATAATTAGTTTATGTTAATTGTAGCAACGAAATGGAAAACTTTCGCGATCGTTATAATGTAAGTTATATTTGATATTTTGATTTCAATTTTACCAATTCATTCTCTTATAAAATATTCTAGATTGATCAATTGAAATCATTATATAATGAATATAGTTTCAAACCGATTCCAACTAAAGTAACTTTTGTGGATGATAATTCATTATTCGAATCTGATCCGAATTTTCGTCCACAATCATTGAATATTTCTTACCAATATCGTGATACATATCAAGTGAAAACATGTTCGTACAATAAAATTTATTGTTGGGATCAATCATCTAGCACTTATAAAAATAAAGGATTACCCCAAGAACAATCAGAGTATGTATACATAGCAGTTGGTAAACATTTTAAATTTTACTAAAAAAAAAATATTCTTTCCAAATCAAGTGTTTCTCTTCAAGCAACGAGCCTAGATGGAAAACGAATTGTCTATCTTAAATCTAAATCTGATTCAAAGAATTCTAAATCTGAACAATTTATTGTCATTTATGATAAAACTGGTGTATGCAAAACTATCGATGTTAAATCTTTAAATGATGAATTGCAAATAATTGAAAGTCCTAATCTTTCTAGCTTTGTATTGAATGACAATGGTACTCATTTGTTATGTGTAGCCGAAATACAGGACAAATTGAACAAGGATGAAAGTCCAGCTGTCGCCAAGGAATACAATATTGATAGCCATGAATTTAAGCAATCTTGGGGTGAAAAATTCAACACGATTTATCATACTTCGATTGCAGTAATCGATTTGCAGAAATCAAAATGTATTCTTTTGGACAAAGTTGGTGTTTCATTGTGTCAGCCATTCTTTTTTAAATCAGATGATCCAACGGTTCTCTCGATTGGATGTATTGGATTCAAAGAAGTTCCCTATAAATTGGGCCTAATTTACTGTACCAATCGAATAAGCTATTTGTTTGGAGCAAAAGTTGTTCGTGATTCTTCTAGCTCTGCAAATATCGAACCTGAAATCTATTATGGCGATACTGCTGATCTATCTATCCGTTCACCTCGAGTATATTATTCGAATGGATATGATAGTAAAGTTGTTTTTCTGGAACGTAATGCTGGTGGAGCTCATGATAAAGCTGCCAGATTGCAATACTTCGATATGGAAACTAGAAAAATTCGTACAATTATTGATGACAAAATCAAACGAGAAGTTATAAAAAACAAAGATGGCACTGCTAGTTATTCGGATATTGGCCCCATATTTTCAAGTGATTTGCCATCAAATTGTTTCACAAAGAATGGAAAATACATCTTGTTTGATTCTGAAACACCATTTTATAGAAAAAGCTTTGCTGTTAAAATCGAAGACCACTCTGTTCAGATGATAAATTTTGCCGATTCTACTCAAATTTTAGATGTTAAACATGATTGGATTTGTGCTATTGGCTCATCAATCAATCAACTACCTTTGGTTTACCTCGGACATTTTTCTGAATCCAATACCAAAATGCAAATAGTTGATGATCAACAAGATCGAATGATTGAGAACATGAGTTTCGGAAAGTTTATGCTTCCCTCCAAACATTTTGAAAATAAATACATCACAGCAATATGGACATCTCCAAAAGAAATGGTGAATAAATCTGGTCCAATTGTGGTTATACCACATGGAGGACCACATTCACATTATTCGTGCACTTATTTTCAATCTGTAGCACTTTACAATGAAATTGGTCTAAAAACTTGTTTAGGTAATTTATTATTTGATTATTTATGTATAATTTTTTACTATTTTGTGATCAACAGTTAATTATGTTGGCTCCACTGGTATTGATCAAGAATATGTTGAAGCTCTTTTAGGAAATGTTGGTACTAGTGATGTTCAAGATCTTCTCGATGTCATTCAATATATGATCAACAATCATCATGCCGATAAAGATCGAATCATTCTGAATGGTGGATCTCATGGTGGATTTTTAGTTACACACATCTCCGGTCAACATCCAGAAATGAATTTCTTAGCTTGTATTGCTCGAAACCCAGTTATCGATATATCAATGATGGCTGGCATTACTGACATTCCAGATTGGAATGTTTCCGAAGCTTTGGGAAATAAAGAATTTATACCATTAAGTGAAATTTATCCTCGTAATGTAGATGAAATGTCTAAAATGTACAGCAAATCGCCTTTGGCACATCTTACAAAAGTTAAAGTGCCTACTTTATTGTTGTTAGGGAAAGAAGATTTACGAGTGCCTTTTCCCCCTGGATTACTATATCATCGTATACTTAAAGCTCGAGGAATTGAAACTCGATGCTTAGTATATGACGATGTACATGATCTTTACAAAATTAATGTAGATTTTGATTGCTTTATCAATGTTTCCAAATTTATTGAAAAATTTATCTATTATAACTCACAATAATAACAATAAAGGAAATTTTGTATTGCTTATGATGAATTATCTAATCGAATAGATTTATGGATTAAAAATTTATTCAATTGTATCGATATAAAACTCAAATAAATAAAATTTAATTGTTTACTACGTTTTTATATTTGTACCTAAAAAATGACAAGATATTTAATAATTTTCGCTTTGATATTGAACATTTGGGCCATAAGCTCTTATGGAACTGATGAAGAATATGCCCCGATTGTTCATCTTCGACATGGAAAAGTTCGTGGAATTGTTCGATCTGTTGGTGATAAAAAAATTTATCTTTATGAAGGATTTCGATTCGGTAAGTGTTCATATTTTCATTAAAATTGCTAAGTAAATAATGATCTATTTTATAGGTGATACCAATCGTTTCGAAAAGTCTACGATGATAACATCATGGCCTGATGACGTTTACAATGCGACAAAATTAGGAAATTCATGTGTACAATTTATGAATCAATTTGTCCTAGAAAATGTAACTTATGAAAGTGAAGATTGTCTTTTTTTGAATGTTTATAAACCGGTCACAAAAAATGAAAAATTACTGCCTGTAATGGTTTGGATTTATGGTGGAGGTTTTCAAGGTGGTTCAATATTTCTCTCATTCTATGATAGCTCTTATTTGGCATCGTTTGGTGAAGTTATTGTTGTTGCCATTAACTATCGTCTTGGACCATTTGGATTTTTATACGGTGATGGTAAAAATGCCCCAGGTAATCTAGGCTTTCATGATCAACTTTTAGGATTAAAATGGGTTCAAGAAAATATCGAAAATTTCGGTGGTGATCCTAATAAAGTTACCATTTTTGGAGAATCTGCCGGATCGATGTCTGTGTCAGCATTAGTTCAATCTCCATTAGCTAAAGGTCTATTCCATAGAGCTATCATGCAATCCGGTGCTGGATATTTATCCTATCCACTTTTGCGTGATAATAAACAATTGGCTTTGGAAAAAACAAAAAGACTTTCGGAAAAATTGAATTGTAAAAATGAAAACATTAAACACTTGTTAGCCTGTTTGAAAATGAAAACAATAGAAGAAATCAAAAATGCTGCTTTAGGTGATGGAAAAGAAATGATGGCAAACGAATTGTTTCAACCAATCATTGGTGATGATGTTTTACCCTATGATATTGTCCAATTCAAAAATGATTCGAATCATGTCGACTTACTTTATGGCATTACTCATGACGAAGGAGGAATGATGGTCCTTATGTCTTTTCCAGAATTGATGGATGATAAAACGATACTGACAATGAAACAAGTTCATGAGAAAATATCAGGCATGCTCATTCAAATGAATATGACAAATTATTCAAATGAAATCATTCATCATTACACAAATAATTTGGATGCTTCTAATATCAAGGAAGTTCGGTAGGTAGTTTAATTGTCAAGTTTTGAGTATCACTTTTAAATCTTTTTTTCACAAAGGAAAATGTTTGTAAAGTTGTTTACCGATTTCACCTTGGGATGTCCAACAATGTTATTCGGCCAAAGAATAGCTCAGATATCAGAAAAAGTTAACAACTTTTACTCATATCGATTGGATCGAAGAGGAGTGGCTGCTATTCCGATGGGATGTACTTTTGAATGGCTGGGTGTATGCCATGGAGCTGATATACCATACGTGTTTCATAATTCAATGTTGAAAAATTCATCCAAAGATGTTCAATTAAGCAATGATATGATAAAAGCATGGACAAATTTTGCTAAAACTGGTCATCCAGGTACAATGGGATCAATTGAATGGCGACAAGTTTATGAAAATGGACAAAAATCTTCCGCATCAACTATGCTATTAGATGTCGAATATAAAATGGTTGATGATATATTCAAAGAAACTTGTGATGGAATATGGGAAAAAATATTCGAATCCTACAAATAATTATTTGTCTTTTTGACTGGAATTTTTTTTTCAAATCAAAAAGTTTTAATTAAATAAAAATGGTTATTATATTTGAACCGTGATGTCACCAGTTTTTTTTATTATCATGAATTTCGAAAAAAATCATTTGAAAACATGAAACAACAACAACAAGAAAATGAGATTATTTGAAAAAAAAGAACAGAATAGGTGCAAAAAAAACGAAAAAAAAAAACATACAAGGAATATTAATGATTTGTTGTTTTTGCAGAAACATTTTTTAGAATAATGAATAATAATGTTACAACAATGAGAACAATAACAGGTGAAAAAAATATGTAATAAAAGATAATGAAGTGAGATGAATAACAAGATTGGTTTTTATTTCTGTTGAAAACAAATGTGTTTGTGTGTGTGTGTGTGTGTATGCGAGTGTTACAAATGATTTTCCATATTTATTTCATATAAAAATTATTATCATTTTTTTTATCTATAAATTAATAAAAACAATGAATGAAGAATTTACTTTATTTATTTATTCATATAATCAAATGTATAAATGAAAAAAAATTGTAGCAATATCTCACTGAAATGTTCTCATTATAATCAATTAATCAATCATTTATTTCATAAATCATTTTCATCATTCTATTGATTTAATGTGATAGTAGGGTGATAATCATTTTCAACTATAACAATCATATTAATGCTGAGTTATATAACTGACTGAAAATTTTCTGATCAAAAAGAAAAATAATAATCTGATCGAAGAAGAGTATTCAAACAATTTCATCAGTCTGCAAAAAATAAATAATAATAAATTTATCCATTGTCATTCGGATTGACAAAGAAAATAGAAAAATGATGAAAGCAATATAAAAAGTTTCCGCTGGCAAATCATATTCTGTCATTATTATGAATCTATATGCTAATTTTTTTGTTGAAAAAAAAACAAATTGCACATAAGTCCTTTTTTTTTGATAATGTATGAATGTTGAAAAAAAATGAATACTTTATGCAGAAAAAAATCGAAAAAAAAGTAAGAAAATTCAAATTAAGACATTTGGAAAATCAGTTTTTGTTTGCTTTCTTTTTTTTTGTTTGTCAAAGATACCACAATCGTATACATTGTAATCATTTGCTGTTTTTATATCACCCATATATAATTAATTTGGTCGATTTTTTTTTGTTGTTGTTGTTACAAACTAATAAGTTGGAATAATAATTAAAAAAAATTGACCAACTATTTGACCTCACTAAAGTTTCTTCAATTCATTTTTTCATTATTGTTTGAATGTTTAAAATTGTGTATTGATTTTACAATGTGTTCTAACGGAAAATAGATAAGAACTAACAATGTTTTTTGTTTTTGTTTTGTTTTCATGTTGTCAATCGAGGAACCATCAAATTTATTCTGTTATTATTATTTTTTTAAAAAAATGAATGTTTGTCAGTGTGTGTGTGTATGGCAGAATCTTTACATAATATATTGTTCACTTTATCACATAATAATAGTTCATCACATTATGAACAATGATTAAATGATTTTTAAATGTTGTTTGCTTGTTAATATGTGTTGTGTATGTGTGTTTGGGGATAATTAAATAACACAGTCAGGTTTATTATATTGTTATATATGTGATGTAACAATTTTTTCTTTTCACTACAAATATTTTAGTTGACAATTTTCTGTTAAATATTGTTTCAAAACTAAAGTAAAGTATTCTGACAAAAAAAAACAAACAGAAAACTTTCTTTAATTTTTTTCATTTATTATTATCATTTAATATGAATAAAATTAAAATTTTTATGAAAAAATAATGAATACAGTTGGGTCTAATGTTCGGCCGTGTACAGGTAAATTTTCTAACAAAATTTTTATATATATTTAAAAATGAAAAACATAAACAAGAAAAAAAACAAACAAAACAAAAAAAAACAAAATGAAAAGAAAAGAGTTAACGTAAAAATATTGTCTTGGTAAAAGTTGGAAGCATGAAAAGTTTTTGTTTGTTGAAAATTTCCAAAAACAAATATTATGATGATCAACGGGATAAAATATTTTTTAAATAGAAACAACAAAAAACAACAAACAAAACAATATAACAAGTACAGGAAATCAACATTTTGAATCGCTTTGGTTGAATCTCATTATCCACACATTAAGCTTCATAATTTTTCGTAATTCTTGTTTCTTTTTTGTGAGGAAAAAATTCTGAAAAATAGTCAGGTCTGATTTCCATTTTTTTTATACAAGAAGAAAGCTGAAAATTTATATCGTATGAAAAAATTCACTATAATTAATTTATAAAACATATCGTTGAACAAGATGGTAATGATGAGATGCATTTAATTATTGGTCGAATGTAAGAATAGAGATGGATTTAGTTAGAGACAAATATCAATCACCGTTGTCTTTATTGGAACTTGTTGAACTTATTTCAATTGTTAAATCCAATCCAGATGAATGAAACAATAAATGATTTGCATGATGACAATGATTTGAATAAATAAATGTTGGTCGTTCCAAAGGTTATTAGATTGAAAGAGAGAATCGTTAATTCAGAACTTGACCATTAATTCGAAGAATAGTTAATATCATAAACTTAACTATCAATTCTATAGATGGATATGTGTGATAATGATGATTTGCAAATAATGGAAATGAATTTTTGTTGATTATGATGAATTCAATCTGAATTTACATTTCCGTTAATGATCTAATGTTTGGACGTGTTCAGTAGTATGTTCTATAGATATTTTCAAACAAAAGAAACGAAGTGAAACAAAAATTTAGTTAAAACATTCCATTTGAAAGATTGTAATATTGACAATCAAAAGAGAATATATTTTCAAGAAAACCAATTACCGATTTGAGCTTCTTCTTTGATGTTTTGATTGATCATTTTGTTTACAATTGATTTTTTAGTTGACTGATGATTATTATTAGAAGATTGATTTGACGACTGCCGGTTACTTGATGATTGTTGATTATGTGTTTTGATATGTGCCGTCAGATTACCTCGATTAGCAAAACCTTTTCCACATGAATCACATTTGAATGGTTTCACACCAGTATGAACACTCATATGACGCTTTACGGTAGATTTCTGTATTTGTTATAACTTGAAATTAGTTTTCAAGAATCATTAATCAGTCAAAATCTTACCTGAGAAAACTTTTTATGACAAACCTGACATGAAAATGGCTTTTCACCCGTATGAATACGCATATGAATTTTTATTCTTTCTTTGTCTGCGAATCTTTTCTCACAAACCTAAAGACACAATTATTTTTGTGAAAAAAAATGTTCACGTTATTCATCAAGAAATTACAGAATTTACCTCACAAGGAAAAGGTCTTTCTCCAGTATGAGATCTGGTGTGGCGAGTTAATGATGTTTTTTGTGAAAAACGACTATTACATATTTCGCAAACAAACGGTTTCTCGCCCGAATGAGATCGTAAATGTAATTGATATACATTCTTAGATGCCAAATTTTTATGACATATGCTGCATTTAAATGGTTTTGCCGGATCTTCAGATTGTAATGGTGGTGGATTTATATTTCGACCGGCTAGGATTTGAGTACAATTAATGTTTGAGTTTTAAATTTTTTTTTCAAACATATAACTTACCAGCAATTATTTGTGAAGCAGAATCAACAGTAGAAATGACATTGGTATTTTTACCTCTTTTGCCTGTGGATAATTTTGAAGCTGTAGTTTTTGTCGCCATAGTCATTGTCACGGGTGCTGTGGTGGCTTGAGGTAGAAAATGGCCTGTACCCGAAGGCATAAATGCAAATGTACCGGAGCTATTTGTAACCATATTAGCAACTTGAATCGATTGTTGATGTGATTGACCAATATTATTTGTTGCAACAGCAATAGGAACAGCAAATTTAGTGACAGCTCTTGCTGATTGATTACCCGGAATGTTACTCTGATTCTGAATTATCGAACTTAATATGATGGATCCTGTCGGTATGTTAGGATGAGTTACCGAAACATTGTTCGTTGTTTGCAATGGTTGCAATTGACTGGAATTCAGTGTCAATAATGTAGCTGAAGCATTTGCAGTTCCACTAATATTTGCGGCTGGTACGGAATGTAATAGTATTTTAGTTTTACCCAATGTTTGCGTTTGCGGATGATGACTAATAGGCAATTGACCTTGGGGTAATTGTAACACCGAATAATTAGCTGACAATGGGAATTGTGTTGATCCTGATTGGATCAATGTCGGAGTGGTCGAATTGTTTTGAGCGACGTTTTCATATCCTTGAGATCCAGAAACAATATTGGATAGATTATTTTGGTAACGATTATTGTTGCCATTATTATTATTATTATTCAAAGAATCATTCGAAGAGGTAGAAGAATATTGACGAGGCAACATTGACTCGTTTGAATGAAAATTTTGTTCCACATCTATTCAATGAACAAATATAATAGAAAATGAATTTTAAACAATTCTTTCAATACATACTACTTGTGTTTGGAACAAAAGATTTTATGTCAGCATTATCTCCTTCAACTTTGAAACGATTTTGTTGAATCTGTGGTTGCGAATGGTTGGCTGCCGAAATAGAATGCTGAGGATTCAAAGTAAAATTGGACGGAATGATCATAATCTGATTTTGATTGACCATATGTGGCGATTGAATTGTTGTTTGTCCAATGGCCGGACTTTTCGAGGCAAACAATAATGTTGGTTGACTTATCGATGTATTAGTGTTAGAACTAGCAGCTGTTGAAGTTGAGAAAAATATCTTTTTTGAAGCCGTTGTTACATTAGAAAAATTTACACCGGTAGTGGAAATTTGTTCAGGATTTGAATCAGTGATTACACACAGAGGACGTAGGGCACCACTTCCAGTTGTTAATGTCACCGGTATTGTATCAGCTAGATGACTATTTGGATTATTGTGCGGTACAACCATGCATATTGATTGCGATTGTTGAGGATTAGATTCATTTCTTCTTCCAGATATCATTTGTCGCTGCTGTTGATTGATAATATTCAATGATGGCTGATTCTGTGTTGAAACTGTTGAAATATGAATAAATTTGAATGAGAAAATTGAAAAAATTATTAGTTTTATTTACCATTAATGGCAGGCGACGATGAATCACTATTTGTGGAACAGATGCCAATCGTAACATTAGATTGCTGTGGCAGAATTTGTACTTGTGATTGACTTTGTTGTAAATTGTTAGCTGAAGAATCATATTGTTGCTGGATCGATGCTGTAGATTTTGCATCATTCAGCGAAAAATTCACGTTAACATTTTGTGATTCAGAATGCGGCACTTGCGACGTTGATGATTGATGTTGTTGTAATTGATCACATAAACTAACATACTTTGATGATGTATTTGTTGGATGATGATCATAATGCACGGATGGTGGTTGTTGTTGTTGTGATTGAGAAAGTGTAGGTGTCGAGGACATTAACTGCGATTCACTATTACGCATTGTTCCTAGCGATCTGATTGGATCCGAATCGATTGATTGAGATTGAGAATCATTGGAAACTACAACAACGGTATTCACGTTGGTCATCGAGAGTGAAGATTGTTGTTGCTGTTGTGGCTGTTGCTGTTGTTGATGATTGGTATCGGCAGAAGATACAGCAGCCATATATTGTGATGTTACCTGATGGGCAGTGTTATCATTGTTATCAGTGGTTGTAGATGATGAAGTAAGTTGATTCGATAATGATGTATTGGGATTCATCATAGAATTTGTTGATGCAACAATATGATATTGATTTTGTTGAGAATGTTGTTGTAATTGATAATCATTAACATCAACGCCATTAGATGTTGTTGATGAATTCGTAACTTGATGATCTATAGGTGTATATAGCATATGATTTTGTGTTCCGGTTTCCGTTTGAATATCAGTTGTAGATGACTGTAGTGAAGACAAAAAAAAGGAAAAGGAAATTGAATCATTTTTCTTCAAAATTTGAATATCAATAAGAACTTACATTAGTACAGCTAGAATCGGCAGTTGTTGTAACCATATTCGATGATGAAACGTTATTTGAACATTGTGATTGTTGAACAGTAACAACAACAACATTATTATTAGATAACGATGATGATGATGATGATGGTTGTTGTAGTTGTAACGAATGTGAATTCTGTTGTTGTGTAGACGAACTAGGCACTTCAATCATCGATGCTGATGTAACATTACTCTGATTCGTTATCGTCAATGTTGATGATGATGTTGATGTTGATGGTGATGATGATGACGCAATATTATATGTATCATGCTGTTGTTGTAGTTCCAAATTAGATGTAGATTGAACTATTTGTGTGTATGAATGTAATATAGAAAATGGAAAAAAAGCATAAAATCGAAATCAGTTTCAATTGCTAAAGGGGAGAATCGAAATTGTACTTTTCATTTTTTTTTTTAAAAAAGTTATTCACAAACGTATAACTGATTTTTTTCAGTGATAAGAATTTTTTTTTATTTGTATGTTTCCTATTGATTTTAAAATATGATAAAAACCATGCGATATTTTTTTTTGTTTTTTTTTGTAAAACACAAAAAGTGGATACTAATTTAAATCTATCAAAATTGATAGCACACACACAGACACTTCAAGTCATTGATTTTTGTATTTCGAAAATGTAATTTCTCATTTTGATACATATTTTTTTTATATTATTAATCAAATTTCAAGGAATATTCCTTTCCATTATTCATTTTTCTATTTTATTATTATTATAAATTTTTCGTTCTTACGATTCTCGGCTAAAATACTAAAGAGAAAGATAATTTGATATAGGCAACAAAAAAAAAATACAATTTTTTCATGATAAATTGATTTCATCAAACGAACGAACGAATTTCAATCAAATCTTGATTGTGATATTTTGTTTTGTTATCAAACGAAATAGAAAAATCTAGAAGAAAATATCTAAACCCGCTCTATGAAGCTGCCAACCATTCGGTTTTGTTTACTGATTTCTGATTTCATAATGTAATATGAATGACATAATGAAAAATAATGAATGAAATGTATGCTGCCTTTTGAAATCATTAATTTTCGTTATTCATCATTTTGAATTCAAAAAAAATATAAATAAAAATAAAAGATAATCAAAAACAAATAATGGAATCAATTGGATCAAAGCTAAAAATTTATGACAGTGTAGCCCCCTCTTTTGTTTAATCATGTATTGCATAAAAAAAAAGATTAATTTCAATTTTTTTTTCATTGGCACTTTTCACAATCTCTTTTAATTTTTATCATTGTTTTTGATTATGAAATCCTTATCAGTATAGTGAATAGTCGAAAATCATATCGGATCGATAAATGTTTTTATTTTCTTATCTAACAAATAACTAAAAATAACGTCGAATAATAAACGTTATTCTGAATTTACCAATTTGATGATGGCCATGATGTTGTTGTTGTGGCTGTTGTTGATGATGATATAAATGTCCCGATTGTTCTAATTGTTCTAATGATTGATCGGCCGTTATTGTTGATGGCGCTGTTACAGTTGTTGTTGTTAATGATTGTGTTGATGATGTTTGATGATGAGGTATAACAGATTGTTGATTATCGGTATTAATTTGATGTTGATGATGATGATGATGATGATGATGTAAAATTGAATTATCCTCATCATTATGACCACTATTCGAATCATTAGCTTGCTGTTGTTGATGATGATGATGATGATATAAGCTAGTATCATCATTTGAAAGACATGGATTCATTGATACAATGTTAGGAACAGTTACATTCTGATGTTGTTGTTGTGGCTTATCATCATGATTTAATTGCGTTGACTGCTGCTGCTGTTGCTGTTGATGATGATGGTGATGATGTAATCTTATACCTGGATCATTACCGTAACCTAATCAGTTGAAATTAATAATTATAGTTTCGAATAAAACTAAATATAAATAACTTACATTCGTATAAATTAGTAGGAATCATGGTATTGAGCAATTGATTTGTATCATCATCTTGGTTCGCCACTGAAGATGATGATGATAATTGTTGTGGAATAGATGTTGTTGTATTTGTTGGCTGATATGATTGAGCTGCGCCTGATGTCGATGTTGATGAAGTTGATGGCGTTAAAGCCGAATGTAGATGCGATTGTTGATGATGGTGATGACTTTGAATATGTAGCTGCTGCTGTTGCTGCGGCTGCTGCTCAAGATGTTTCTGAGATTCCATCATCGTCGTATCTATCGCTATAGTGGCAGTTAAAATTATGAACATTTATGAAATTGTAAATACAACATACCTGAAGCTATATATTCACCATTATTCTGATCATTATTATTTTCAATTTGTTGATAATGTTGATGATGATGATGGTGGTGGTGGTGATGGTGACCCGTTGTTGACAAGGTGTTTACTGTTGTCGTCGATGATGAAAGTGATGATAAAGATGTTTGTTGTTGCTGTGGTTGCATCGAATCTGTAACGACTATCATTGCTGAAGTTATTTCATCATTAGTTGTCGTATGAATGGCTGTCGTTGTTGTTGAATCGGAAAATCCAACATTGATATTTTCCATTTCTTGTTGTTGTTTTTGAGTACCGAAACATGAAGATTCTTCATGAGCAGCAACAGTAGCAGCACAAGAAATGTTTTCACAACTTGATGTTGTTGTCATCAAAGGATTATTATTACTATCATTTTCCATCAGAAATGTTTCTGATTGTTTGTTTTGATATTCATGTTGTTGATGATGATCATTTCCTAAAATCATATTGTCACCGGAATCGCTAACAATGTTTCCATTTCCATTCATACGATGAAATGATTGTTGTTGCGATTGAGATTTTATATCGTAATCAGCATTACAACCACTGTCACCAACACTACCATCATTGTCAATGTTGGAAATTTTCGTAATGGTTCGATCAAACGACTGCTGCTGTGTTTGCAGTTGATGTTCATGTGATGAAGATGTTGGCAGCGTTTGTTGTGACATTGAACTTTGATTATGATGTTGATGATGCTACAATCATATAAAGAATTATGATAGAAAAACAAAAAAAAAAGATTGAATTTTCAGAATAAATAGATTAATAGTTCTTTTAAATAATACCTGAAAAGATACAACTTCAGTTATAGAATTTGTTGTAAATGCTGTTGCTGCTATTGTTGTTATTGTCGTTGTTGATGTAACTATTGATGGCGATGTTGTTGTAGCCACTGTTTGATAGGAATATTCAATTTTGGCAGGAAAATTATTATTATCATTCATAATATTCAACCTGTTGCCACTATCATTATTGCTGGTATTATTACCAGTATTATCAATATTTTGATTATTATGATTATTATCGTCTTCGGGCAGCTGTTCAACAACTGTTGACAATAAATCGGGCGTTGTTTCTTCAAGCAATACCATTGATGATGGATCGAATAGAATAAAATTGTTGCTTGTTGTTGATAATGATGATGATGATGATTGCTGGGTATGATGATGATTATTATTATTATTTTCGTTATTATCAATACTGGTCACAACAGTTGTATGAATATTGCTTTGCTGTTGTTGAATAAAGAGATCCGCTTCATCACTTGTTTTTGATGTATTATGCTGAAGATGATGATGATGGGAATGATGTGACAACGACGACGATGACGATGGAAAAGATGACGATGTAAATGTATGATGAGACAAAAGATCTTGTTCAGATCTTTCTTGTTGTTCTAGATTAATCAAGCCTAATATTTGATCTGTATTTGTATCTAATTGTTGTTGATTAATATCTTCTTTTGATTGTTGTCTTTGACAATTACTAATTACAATTGATGAAGAATGTGTCTGTTTATAGGTTGTTGTAAGTGATGGTGAATTAGAATCAAATAAATATTCAGAATAATCTTCAATATGACCGGATGGAAATGGTTCCGTTTCACTATTGTTATCCGTTGTTGTTGTTGTTGTTGTGACTACTGCCGTTGTAGAATCATCATTATCATTTTCATCATCGGTTTCTAATATACGTGTAAGACGTGCACCTAAACCTTCCAAAGTTTTTTGCTGTACAATCGTTTCGTTTATCTCTTTCTCTGCAATTTTTTTATTGATTTCGTTGATTCTTTCTTCTTCTTTTTCTTCTTCTTCTTCTTTACTGATACTATGCTCATCACTATGCCCCAATGTATTATAGATTATCGTATCCGATGTTGTTGTTGTCGGTATATTAGACATAGGTGTAACAACAACAATACGTTTTTTTTATAATTTTATAACGATCAATTATTAATTAGCCAATTTTTGTTTGTTTGTTATAAATTTGAAAGAATCAACAAAAACAATGAATATTCCATCGACAAACATTGAACTACATTGAATTAAAATGATTGGAAAAAAAATAAATTAGTTCAATTTCAAATGATGATTAGATTCACAAAACACACAAGCACACACACACACACAAATCTAATATAAACAAATGATTTTCTTAATTAATCAATTAGTTTGGTTACTGGTCATTGAATAATAAATAAGTTACCAACACAAAAAGCAACAACACCAACAACAACAATCTTATCGTCATCATCATTATCATATTTAATCAACTTTGGATAGTTTCTATTTTTTTTCCAGAAAAAAAAAACTTTTTATTACAACCACCATCATTTATTAACTAGCATCTTTTTTTTCTTTATTTGTATTTTTTTTACTCGAAAAAAAAGTGTGAAACTATAAAGAAGAAAAAAAAAATGCGATTAGAAAATAGAAGAACAGAAAGTAAACGAAGATAAACGAACATTTTGTAATTGGTTTCGTAATGTCATAGAAAGTGTGTGTGTGTTTGTTATGCAAAGTGAAAAAAAAGCATCCAACTTTTTAGTCTCTCTTTTTTTCACTTTTGTTTTTTAAGGTCACTTTTTTTATTATTTTCTTTAGCTTTTTTTCATATGAAAAAAAAGTCGACAAGATGTTGACTTAAAACATTCATTCATGGAAAAAAAACAAAATGAAAAAATTCACAGCAGCAATTAAACGAACGAACGAAAAAAAATATATTATAACGGTATTTGAAAGCAAAAAAAAAAAGAAGATCATTCGAATGTGAATAAGCCAAACAACAAAATGAACTATGTTCAATGTGCGTGTCAGAATTAACAATCGGTTTATTATTCTTTGCAAGAGTAGAAAAAAGAAGAAAAAACTATTTTAAGAATCCTCTTCACTTTTTCCTATAACAAAAAAAAAGTGAAGAAGAAAAAATTAATGAGAATTCTGCAAAGGATTTTTATTTTATATTTTACTTTACTTTTCTTCATTATTTTCATTATTTTAAATTATTAATAAATTCTTTAAAGTGAAGTTGTTAAAAGTGAATTGAAATGAATTAAAATGGAAAATGGAAAGAATGTGACCAAATGACCAATATGAATATACAATGGGAAAAAACTGGTGGAAAATATTTTTTTTTAATCGATTAAAAAACAAAATCATATTTGTTTATCGATTAGAAATTGAAATGAATAGTTTGTTTTTGTCATTGCTAATTGAATAAATGCTCTATTTTTGTTCAATGTGTTAATGAATTAATATCTGGTGCGGTTTTTTCCATTTTCGTTTTCCTCACTCTAAAATAGACTAAAATACGGTTCAATATTTAAAAAATTTACAATGAAATAAAATGTAATTATCGACGGTAGAAATCGAAATATTATGCATTCAAAAAAAAGAAGTAATTTTTCAAGGTTAAAAATATTATAAAACGGAATGGATAATTTTTTTTCTATTTTTGAATTCATTCATATGACGATTGATTAATCCAATTGATTTGCATCTGTTTTCTGATATTTTTGATTGATAAAATCTTTCTCAATTTAATCTTCAATGTGTGTATATTTCGTAAAATCAGATGACAAATCGAATCAACAATATTTGAATTAATTTAATTTCATAAGATTGATTGTAGTGTTGATTTTCAATGTTCGCCTTTGAATTTCATTTTTTTGAATGAAGTGTGCCAAAAATGATGAACAAAAAATAAATAGAGTGAAAATGAATCCAAAAATCAATTGCAAAACAAAAATCAAATATGACAGGACTAAGACTGGAAAAAACGAGAGAGAGAGAGAGAGAAAAAAAAGATGATCAGAAATGATGCGAATAAAAAATTCTATTGAAATTTATTTGAAATCAAAAATTAAAACAAAATGATTGATCGATTGTGATCTACTTATTCTAATCGATTCTGATCATCAATCGACTTGAATGATGTTTTTTTTTGTCTTGTTGACATGATCCTCACACATTTCACTGATTTTACTGATTCCATCAATTTAATGTTGATGACAAGTTTTCTCAGACTAAAGATAGAAAATCCAATATAATACAATAGTGAATAGAAAAAAAAAATATCAAAGATGCTAATGAATCTTGATTGAATAGAATTCATTGGAATCGAATCGTTTTTTTTTGTTGTCAATATTTCTTGCCTTATGTGGATTATAATTTTATTTTCTTTTCATTTCAATGTTTATTAACAAGCCAAAAATCAAAATCAAAAGAAATTCAAAATGACAATTACAATGTGCACACATTGCATTCAATAATAATAATACAATAGAAAGATTTTCAATTATAGATGTGTGTCATTCGTTTTCTATATATCCCAAATAATAATTTGATTATTTGTTAACAAAAGATCACATCTTTTTTTTCAAGCTAAAATAGCTGTTCATTATAAGAGAATATTCTGATATTTATGAAACGAAAAAACGATTCATACGCTTTGTATTGTACATCAATATTGTAATTTTGAGTACCTATATTAGATCCTAATGATAATAATAGAAAATGAAAAATAAAACGGAAATTCTTTACAAAGGTCATTTCCCAATAATAATAATAATAATAAGGGATACATGATTATTCAGAATGATTATTATGATGTAAATTAGTCATATATGATTAATGAAAGTATTATGAACAATTTTCAACAACAACAACGAAAAAAAAACTATCCAACAACGAAAAAAATCAATAAGGATTAATTATGAATTTTCTCATTTATTTTTCTGATTGATAATGAATTTACTTTCAATTTTTTATCGACAACTTTAGGATCATGGCCATTTCATTTTTTTTTTCGTTTACTAGCATTCATTTCGCAGTTTTTTTTGTGCGACATTTTGTTGTCATCACGAAATTGTTTGTTCGAAAAATGAAATCGGTCCACTAAAAAAAATGGAAAAAGAAAAAATCTTTTCCAATCCAATCACTGACTTTGATAATGATAGATGCCATAGCTGGAGGTCCTCAAGGACGATAAACGCCATTCTAATACTATTTCACTTTCGATATTGTTTTGCTTATTTCTTTTTCCAATTAATCAATCATCCAGTCAAGCCTAACGATCTTTATCTCCTCCCATTATTATTCCCCCAACAAACAAAAATTTCACAATATTACAAGTTAGATCAAGTGTAAAACAAAAATTGGGCAAAAGAAAAATCAGCTCAGAATTTTTTTTGTTTTTCTCGTGTCCATTTTTTTCAAAAAAAGAAAAATGATCTGATATACCAAGAAAAAAATCAAAGTCAATGTTGTTGTTGTATCATATCATAGTAAAGGGAAACAAAAAACAAAAACAAATCCAAATAATCCAAAATTAACGTTGAAAAACTATATTTTTGTCAATAAACATTTTATCCGCAATTTAATCAACCATTGCGAATACAGTTCGGTAATAGTTTTAATGATTTCTTGAAAAAAAAACAAACAATGAAAACACCAAAAAAAGAAATAAAAACACACTATGATGAGCAATGAAGCATTTCGAGAATCATTTTACCATTTCCATCATCATCATCATCGCCATGATTAACACAATCATATATACAATCATCATTTGATCAAAAAAAAAAAAAAAACGAAAACGCAAGCCTAATTGATGATGATAATCGATTGGCAATGAAGGTTAACAAAATTCATCCTCATAACTTGAATGCTATTTTGAAGGAAAATATATATATTTTTGGATGATTGAAAATTCGAAACAAACGATGAAGAGAAAGAGAAAAAAACTTGTCATCATCGTTGTTTGCTGTTTTTTTTTTACTGAATTCATTCGAATGATAAGGAAATTTATTTTTTTTCCAAGAAATTTGAAGAGAAAAAAGAACATAATTNTTCCATCATCATCATCATCCCCATGATTAACACAATCATATATACAATCATCATTTGAACAAAAAAAAAAAAAAAAACGCAAACGCAAGCCTAATTGATGATGATAATCGATTGGCAATGAAGGTTAACAAAATTCATCCTCATAACTTGAATGCTATTTTGAAGGAAAATATATATATTTTTGGATGATTGAAAATTCGAAACAAACGATGAAGAGAAAGAGAAAAAAACTTGTCATCATCGTTGTTTGCTGTTTTTTTTACTGAATTCATTCGAATGATAAGGAAATTTATTTTTTTTCCAAGAAATTTGAAGAGAAAAAAGAACATAATTTTCATTCGAAAAAAAAAATCTGGATTGCATTGATAGGAATCATAAAATTCTTCAATTTTTTCAATCATCATGAATAAACCAAAAGAATACACATAAAGTTTGAAAATAATGAAAATGAAAATGATGCGATTAAAATAATGGAAAAAAAATTTCCATCAATTAAATTGACATACAAAAAAATGAATGAATGAATGGATCAATGACTTAATGAATGAATGAATGAAAGGATCATAGACACTCGCGATCGACTACAACGAATTTTTTTTTTCTCGAATAAATTTGTTATTATTATTATTATCAATATACAAGTACATGTCGTCAACAATGACAAAAATTCACAATCGCATACTGAAATTGATTAAGAATTAATTATTGTTGAATACAACAACAAAAAATGTACAGGATTTGAATTTTTTTCACATACAAAAAAACAAAAACAAAAACAAAACAGGTGATGATGTTCAAAAATCATCACCACCACAATCAGAATTTTGTTTTGTTTTTTTTCCCATAATTAAAATTTCATTTGATTTAATGAAATTTTAATGATAATTATTATTGATTCAACTAAAAAAGGAAAACAAAAAACAAATTAATCTTATCTTTTCATTGAAAGAATAACCTTTTTTCTTTAACCATCTTTTCATCATCATCATTATCAAATAAAATATAGCATTTGATGATTTGTTATCATCAAATTATAAATATTTTTTTAACGGTTAATTTTTTAATGAGATTCCTATTTTTTTTTCTTTATAATTTCTCTTATCCATCCATCCATTCATTCTA